GACTTCTGTAAACTCTAGGTCATTTACGCTCACCTTGAATTTTCTGGCTCTTTTGCCCCAGTATATGATCAGTCAACCAAGCTCCCTAGTCCATAAAAAATTAGGTATCAGATTGATTCCTAGATACTTCTCCTCCATGAAGCCTTCCCTAATTAGCCCCATGAAGTCACAGAGAGGTAAAAAGATAGGGTAAAAGATGTGGAGCTAAAAGGGACCTGAGAGGCCAGTCAATTCTAATCTTCTCAGGGAGAACATGGGGCCCAAGTTAAATGACTTACCCACAGTCACACGAGTAGCATGTGACTGAGACAGGATTTGAATGCAGCAACTCACTCCAAATGCAGTCCTCTTTGCTCTTTACAGAGCTGTATACTCCACAGTGATCTCTTTTACTTTGTATCACCCCAACATGTATATGTGACACATGATTATATATTTGTTTACCTGCTACCTTGTAGCAAACTCCATTGGCTAACTCAATTATAATCACTTCCAAGGACTGGATAGACTTCCTTTGTCTGCTCCCTTTCCCACAAATGACAAGTAAAGAGAAACTTAAAATCATATCTCAAGCTAGAATGGACTTTAAAAGCCATCTAGTTCAACCCTTTCACTTTCAGATAAAGGAATTAAGGTTCAGAGAGTTTAAGACTTGACCAAGGTCACAAAACATACATCAAAGGCAGAATTTGAACCCAGTCTTCTGTCTCTAAAACTAATCCTCTTTCCATTGTATATACATAAGTATTCTTGGCATGAAAACTTTTACTGAAGTTTTTCTTGTTTGCCTTTTGTAAGATGCTAGCCAAAAGTCAATCACAATCAGGGACTGTGAGTTTTTTTCCCCAGTCGTTTTGGTTTAATGTCTAATATGCCAGGGGTACCATACATAAACAAGGAACTTACCTTTCTTGTTCTGATTGCCCCACAGATCAAAACTAGAGGTAAATCTAGCCTGAATATAAAGGAAAATGTCCGAATGAAACTGGCCAAAGTAGAAAGGGCTGACTCAAGAGGTAGGGAGTGGCCGTCTAGCCTCTGCTGGGAGATCTCCAGTGATGGGCCACTCCCCAAGGATGTGGACATGCTACAGCAGGATTTCTGGCCAGATACAGTTTGGACTAGACAGCCTTAAAGGTCTCTTCCAAATCTAAGAATCAATGATTCCATTGAAAACTAGATGGGAAAAAAAGCAAACTTATTCAAAATAATAATAATTCCTCTATCCTCATGTTCTACTTGTGAACCTTGTAGGACTTAAGCTGAGCTTCAAAAATACATTTGGAGACCCATACATTTTGAACAATTGTGCCAAATTATTTCTTTGCTTGGTTTTGGAGTTAGTCCTCCTATTTCCCCTTCCTCTTCTGACATTTACAACAAATCTATCTGAAGAGTAATATCTTCTAAATCAAGTGAACAGGTCCCAGCGTAACCTCATCAGGAAATGGTGAGAGAGGCTTCAGCAAGTTTATTTCCCTTTGTAAACCTTTATAATTCTTTCAAAAGCATTCCATTTAAAACATAATAATTCTCACTCAGTTAAGAATATGATTTCTACCCTGAGTCACTTTAGTGTTCCAACCAGACCTAGAGCTTGGCACCAAAGGGGTGTTTGCCTTCCAAATCATCCTAAGATGCCACTGTTTTGCCCCAAACACCCCTAGTTTCCTTCAATAAGCCATGTCATCTATAAATTTGTCCTAACTTTCCTTGTACTTACTTGTGTTCTGGACCTGTAAAATCCACTGGGGCTAATGAGTTTCATATATTAAGACCAACTTACTTACAAATAACATTTCTGTGGATTAAAGCATCTTCCAAATAAGCTTTTAATGGAGATAGTCTAACTATACTTGTCTTATCCCCAAAGGAAATATAATGGTTTTAGAAAAAAGCCAGAAGGTAACATCCCAATGTAAGGGGATTGAGTTTGGGTCTCACTTCTGTTACTTATTTAAGTTTAAGAAAACATTTATTCATGTCCTTAAGATAGAGCCTTCTTCTGGCTAGGATAGCACGCATTTGTAATTCATGCTACCAGGAGGCTAAGGCTGGTGGATTTCTTGACCTTGGAAGTTCTGAGGTGCAGAGGCTAAATTGATCAGGTATCTACTCTGTCTGGCATCAACATGGTGAACCACCAGTTTGTGTAAGGAGGAGCAAACCATCTTAGGTCAAAAATGGAGCAGGTCAAAGTTCCCCTGCCAATCAATGAGATCAGGCTGTGAGGATCTCTTGTTATTCCAAGTCTAAGTGAGATAGGGAGACCCAGTCTTCAAAAAAGAAAAATTCATTTCTATTATATTCTATTTTTAACATTTCCTATTATAGATTTCCATTAAAGTTTTCCTAAAATATATTTGGATTCCATGGAATACTATATTAATTTTTAAGCTGAATATGAATTAACTTTTCATTGTTGTTAATGGAATAACATCTTTGTTGGGGAATAAGGCCAAATCAAAGAAGCAAAATTTCCTTAAGCCATACTCTGAAACAACTCTTTACATTTTTCATACTTTACCAAAAATTCTGGTGTGAAGGAGATACAACATACATGATCTCTGGGGCACAGTTTCTCCTGTGAAATGAGAAAGCTGGAGTAGGAGATTTCTGGGGTTCCTTCCAAATCTAAAATTCAATAAACTAGAGTCATGAAGGGATTCAACTGCTACTTTGTACACACACACACACACACACACACACACACGGTCTTCAGGGTAACAGAATCATAGATTAAAGCTGAGATGAACTTCAGAGATCTTACTTTTGTTGTTAAGTCATTTCAACATGTCCGACTCTCCATGTTCCCATTTGGAGTATTCTTGTGAAAGATACTGGAGTGGTTTGCCATTTCCTTCTCCAGCTCATTCTACAGTTGAAGAACTGAGGTAAACAAGGTTAAGTGACATGCTCAGGGTCATACATCTAGTGTCTGAGGTCATATTAAAACTTGGGCCTTCCTGACTCTGGGCTCGGCACTCTATCCACTGCAGTACCTAGCTGCCCATCTTTTAATCTAGCTGTTTTCAAAGTGGGCTTTCATGGACCCCCGGGTTTCCTTAAAACCCTTTTGGAGTATCCTTGAGTCAAAACTATTTTCATAATAATACTAAGAGGTTATTTGCCTACTAAAATGCTACTCCTTTTTCCAACTGCACATTTGTATGAGGCTAGATTTTCTTCACATACTTCAACCAAAACAATATATCATAACTGATTGAATGCAGAAACAAGTATAAGAATCCAAATAAGAATTTTCCATTAAGCCACAAATTTTAAAAATTTGCAGAAATATCCAAAACAATGTCACTTCTCAAGAATTATTTTGTTTTGGAAAATATAATTTTTTTCATAAAAATATATTAAGTTAGCATGTAACAGGTTTATTTCTGACACTTTAAATTAATTCATAAATAGTTTTAAATTTGAGAGCTATAACCAGGGATGCGCTGAAAGTGGGCTCAAACTAACCTGAGAGAGCCAACTGGTAAATTTTTAGTGTGACGTTTATCCCTTGAAAATCGGCAAATGCTACAAATCAGGATTTGATTTATGCTTTGTGGGTTATCTAGACTTTGGAAAGTAATGGAGAAAATGTTAATAATGGATATTAAACTTGAAAGTGCGTCGTGTGTGTGTGTGTGTGTGTGTGTGTGTGTGTGTGTGTGTGTATTAAAGACTCACTTAAACATTTACTACCACACCCCTGGCGATAACCCACACAAATCCTCTTCAGGGTCATCAACAATTTTTAAAAGTGCAAAAGCGTCCTGAAACCAAAAAGTTTGAAAACTGTTGATCTATTCCAACTCTTGAGCATCAAGTATTAAAGGAAGTAGATCTCACCTCTTTCATTGAAAAGGAATGCCTGAAATGGAGAGAAATCTAGATGTGAAGATAGAAAAATTATAACAGACAGAAAGTCTAAATATGAAAGCAAGAGGCATACCTTATTCACGTCCCTACCAACTGCAAATGCAATCTAATCATGGAAATTAAGTAAAAAATATGGAGGATGGGAAGGCTGCCCCTTGTAAATGGTAGCTTTCCATGATTTTTACCAGTCCCCTCTTCATTACTAGGGAAAATATAGCTTAAGAATCTCTGATTTGGGGGAACTTTGAAATAAATCATTTTGTCTTAATTCTAGGTATTATAGTGTAACAGGAAGAGCATTGAACTGGGAGTCAAAAGACCAGGGTTCTAATCTTCACCACATCTAATTAATTGTGAGACCTCAAGCAAATCTCTCTCTTAGGGTCAATATTCTCATTTGTTCCCCATCTGAACAACAAGGGGGTTGGACTAATGAGCTCTAAAGTCTCTTCCACCATTCTAAAATTTCTATGAATCTATAGGACAAGCAATTGGCCTATAAGGATTCAGTACAATGTTTTGTAGCATAGGTTATAGAATTTTCCATTAGCAATTATGTTCATACTTAACACTTTAAGGTTTATAAAAACCTTTCATCATCATTGAAGACTTTGGTGAACTGGGAAAGGAGGGACAGTAGGGTGCCAGAGGTGGTTCCCATCTCTCCCCTCCCCTTTCCCTTAACTATTTTGTAGCCCATTCTACAGTTCCAGGATTCTCCAAGGCCAAAAACAAAGTCTGTTTTACCTGCCTCAATTATCCTCAATTATGCCCTATGCCACCAAACTGGCCTCATTCAACCCTGTATCATAACAATCGTGATATTACTCACAGCCTCAAGGGACACCATTTTGTTTTGTTTTGTTTGCTTTGTTATTTCTGCCTCTAGCTTCCAAGGGCCCAGAACATCCAATGAGGGAGCTGGTGTCCAAGGATACACTAAGTGAGGAACTGGAGAACTAAAGAAAATAGATCATAAAAACTCTGTCTCGAGCCTAGGTAGTGGTGGAGGAGAGGAAGATGTTAAGAGCAGTGAGACCTCAGGTATTAGGGAATAAGATTCAGAACCTTGGTGCTTATGTCAGGATGGATCACAGTGATGAATGAGAGAATGAATGAATGGATGAATGAAAAAAACATTTATTAAGTGCTTACTGCATACATGTCAAGCACTATACTGGCGATGAGTCCCATCAGGGCAAACTGGACATTTGCTTGTCATAGACACCAAAGAAATGACATAACAAAAAATATTGACTGTGTAAAAGTCATGCATATTACAGCCATTTATGTGAACAGTTTACTAGTGGTACCTAATTACCATACAGCACAGTAATAATTACGAACATCATTAAATGCACAGCAGATCCACTTGGTCATAAGTTTTTTTTGAGGGGAACTCAGTAAACAGACACTAGGCTTCATAGTTTGTCACTCACAGAAGATAATAGTCACACTCAAACAGTTAACAGCACTATAACCACTATTATTATTAATTATATTATTGTTGTTGTTATTATTTTTTTTCTAGCTGTTCTCTATCTACCCAGGTAACTTTTTTTTTTGTAGCCCAGCCAGCTTACCTTAGATGTTTTCCAGCTTTCTTGCACCTACTCACTGGTACCATCATACTGATTGGTGACATTTTTGCCTGAATGCTTCCTGAAATCCCTATACCTCTAAATCTCGAGGAAAAACAAAAATTTGGGGAAGGTAACAAAAAATATGAAGTTCTCCCCAATACACTGAAATGTTTTTATTATCCTGAGAGCTCAGGAAGGGAGCTCCACTGAAAATAAATTTGTTCTAAATGTCATTGCAATACTATGGTAGCCCATTAGCACATAAAGAACCGAAAAGACTCAGGAGAGAAAAATGTAGTAAACAGTAACTAAAGTATCAGGGGAAGGCTTCTGTTTCCTGTGAGGTCTCTTAACTTCCCAGTTCCTTCCTCTGAAAAAAAAGAGCAAGTATTATTTTCTTTTGGGGGCTGTTCTGATGATCACACTTGGAGTATAACTGGAAACTCATAGAGTCAACAAACATTTATTAAGCACATATTATGTGCAAGGCATTTTGGTGATAAAAAAGGCATTGTGTTGTGCACAATTTTTAAAAAATTTACTAAGGAATAGAAGAGACAACAAATTATTGGTTCCTAAAATTATAAATAATTTTGAAAGCTTTCAAGATCATTAAACTATATTTTGTTAAGGAAGTTCAAAGCAAGATAGGTACCTGGGAAATAAGTTGTTATAATTAGTTCATTGCTCTTTTGAGTTTAATTACCTGGTTTAAAAACAAAACAAAACAAAACACAGTTGCTAAGTGGTTTCAACAAAATTACTGTGACATGAAAAAAACGAACAACAAATCTAACACATGGTCAAACTCCAAGAAGCTATTTAGTAATTTTTTTTTTAGCAGTTCGTGTTGGTGATTAAGTGGAAGGAGGGGAATTACCAAGTGTGGAAATGAGCTCATGCAAAAGCTAAATGTTTTTACTTTGTTTTTGCTTTTAAATAAAATTGTCTTTAAATATGGAGTTCTGTGAAAAACTCAGTTTGGTATCCAAAGTTATGGTACAGTTTCTAGCAAAACCTTGAGTCCTTGCATCATTAAATAAAATAACTAAAAGAAAAGGAGAGGTAAAAAACAGAAAAAACGTCCACTTAAGGCCTCTGGGGTATGCTCTGATTAGATGAAGTCATCAAAAATGGTTCCTGTGTAAGGTATGCTTTAGCAAGACACCTAATGGTCAACGTTTCTAGTGAAAAACAATGTCCAGGAGAAAAAAAGCAATCTGTACAAAGTACCAGCATGGAACAGGAACACATAAGGCCGGTCTCGCAACCCCCAACCTAGTCAATGGTCTTCTGTGGGATGAATCACGGTGTTTATTCCGTGCTGAAGATTTAAAAAATCTTGCACTCGTTAATAGAGAAGAGCTTCCTCCTGCTCCTCTTCCTAGCATGATTAACCGCAGTCCTCACAGCACACTCGAAAACCTGTTGTACCCCTCGGTTGCTGAGGGCTGAGCACTCCAGGTAGCCCTTGGCCTTCACCTCCTGGGCCAGCCGTTTCCCATCCACTGAGTTTATACAGGAAGCCCTGTGGGGTCCCATTTCCCTCTGGTCAGTCTGTGTGGCCACCACCAACACCGGGGTACAGGGCAAATTGCTCCGTATCTCAGCAATCCATTTGTTCCTCAGGCTCAGGAAGGAGTTATGGTTGGCCACAGAGTAGCACATGAGCACCACATCTGCCTGTTGGTAAGAGAGAGGGCGGATGCTTTTGAAGGCATCGTTGCCTGCCGTGTCCCAGAGGCCCAGGCTGATCTGTATACCGTCCATGAAGACGTCTACCCCTGCGTTCTCGTACACCGTGGGCTTATACATTTCAGGGAACGTCTCCGATGTGAAGCGCACCAAGAGAGCTGTTTTCCCCACAGCAGCATCCCCCACCAACACACATTTGATGGAATTAAGCATCTCGTCGAGCCTGGTTCCCAAGTACGATATCAGTCCTGGAGCAACATACACCTCAGGGGGCTGTAGGAACACTGGTCATTCAGGAAAGGCAAGGTGGGATGTCCCTTCTCACAGATTCACCACTCTGTGGAATTCCACATCCCTTTTTAAAGTTAGTACAGCCCATTTAATGTGCAATGGATCCTAGTCTCCTGCCTAGAATAGAAACAGAAGAGAAAATTTTACAGCGTTTTATTTTTCTGATCTATTTTGTCAAGACCTTGACAGTATAGACTTCAAGTCTGCTGCATGAACACATATTTCACAAAGGGGGTTTTTGAGCCAAACCTGTAATATTATTGGTAGAGGAGAGTTCCAATCAGGAAACTGGTGAGCAACTGCTCTGTAATGGTTAGTCTTAGAGAGTTCTCCAGGGACACTGAGAGGCCCTGACAATGATGTACCGAGAGTCTCCAGGACAGTATGTTTGAGAGGAAAGACTTGATCTCTAGTCTTCCTGGCTCTGAGTGACCAGAAGCAGCCCGGGCACCATAGAGCTTTTCTATAGAACCTGGAGGAAGACAGTGGGAACACGCCAAGACTACATATGGTTTGGCCACCTCAGCTCTATGTCTGAGTCACTGCTCAACCTCAGCTCCATTGCAGCAATGCCATTGTCGCAGATCACACTTGAGCTGTCATTTCAGCCCCCTCCCACCCACTGGTGGAAGCGCTGATCAGTTTTCCCACTAGTCCCCTCACACATGACCTATGAAGAAGCACTGTTTGTCTGATATGATCTTTGAAACAGCCCGGTGATCAAAGGCCAAGTCACAACTCAGATAACAACCGAAAAAGATCTGATAGAAACCGGGTGTGTGAGGTAGCTTTTTCAGATGACAGTCTGCTTCAGCTCCAAGAAGTAGGGGTGGGGGTGGGAAGTAGTTGGGGGAGGGGAGGGCAGGTGAGGGGATGGGGAGAGAAGGGGGCTGAAAAATATCTCATTCTCAAATCAACTTTGGCAACATGTGAGAAATGCAAGGAACAAAAAATACGATGAGCATTGTCGTGACTATTCCCTTTCATTTACCAGTTAGCCACCACCTTCTCAAAAAGAAGGATCCTGAGAAACTAAGGAATTGTATACAATTGACTGTTTATGCTTTTCTGATAAATTGATGCTTCTGGGATCAGATAAACCTTCACCCCAAGTTGGGTGGGTGAGATTCTGATGGCTTAAGAACAAAGCCAACTCAACCCTAGTCCTTCTTGAACTAGTCAAGAAATAGAGCTTTCTGTCCCCTGGAGAAAGTTATTGAAGGTTTTTGACCCAAGAGTCAAAAAGGTAAAAAAAGATCCCAAGGGACTAGTGACAAAGAATTTCTTGAACTTTAGTATCTGATTAACAAAGCCAGTATGGTATGAAAAACCATTGATTAAGACATCAACAAATATTTATTAAATATCTACTATGTGTCAGGCACTGCTAAGCACCACAGATAAAAAATAAATAGCTCTCACCTTCAAGGAGCTTACATCCTAATGGGGACATAATATGCAGGTTGCATGTATGTAGGTGTATCTCAGAAATATTGCAGGTTCAACTCCAGACTACCCAGTAAAGCGAGTATTGCAATAAAGCGAGTCACATAATTTTTTTTGTTTCCCAGTACATATAAAAGTTATGTTTATACTAACTGCAGTCTATTAAGTGTCCAATAGTATGATATCTTTAAAAAATTACATACCTTAATTTTAAAATCCTCATTGCTAAACAATGTTAACCATCATCTGAGCCTTTGGCTAGTCCTAATCTTTTTGCTAATGGAAGGTCTTGCCGTCTTGATGGATGCTGACTAGTCAGGGTTGTGGCTACTGAAGGTTGGGCTGTCTGCAGCAGTTTCTTAAAATGAGACAGCAATGAAGGTTGCCACATTGATGGACTCTTCCTTTCACTTGAAAACTTAAAGGCTATCATACAGTTATCAATTAGTCTAATTTCAATATTGTTGTGTCTCAGGAAATAGGGAGGCCTGAGGAGAGGGAAAGAGATGAGGGGAGCAGCCAGTTGGTGGAATAGTCAGAACACACACAATATTTATCAATTAAGTCCGCCATCTTATATGAGAGTGCTTCATAGTGCCCCAAAACAATGACGAGAGTAACATCAAAGATCGCTGATCACAGATCACCATAACAGGTATAATAATAATTAAAAAGTTTGAAACATTGTGAGAACTACCAAAATGTGACACAGAGACATGATGTGAGCATATGCTGTTGGAAAAAATGGCGCCGATTGACTCACTTGAAGCAGGGTTGCCACAAACCTTCAATCTGCAAAAAATGCAATATTTGCAAAGCACTATAAAATGAGCTATACCTGCATCATGTAAGTGTGTGCATAATACATACAACATGAATATAAGGTAAAGTGTTTTTGCTTTTGTTTTGGGGGAGTGTGTTCTATAAGAGCCATATGCCCCTGAGAAGCGATATGTAAATCCAATTCAATAAACATTAAAGTACCTACCCCGTGCTAACACTATGCTAAGTGCTAGTGATCATAAAAATGAAAAAATGATACAATAAATGCTGTCAGGGAAGTTACATTCCAGGACAGGGGATATGGCATGCACATGAGCAAAACATATATATTGGGTCATATGAGATTCCTAGTATGAATTTTAAAATGTGCTTGAAACATTAAAATATAATAATTACTCCTGTGAATGCTAATGTTCACTGCGAGGACCTTTCTGCATTGGTAAATGTGCATTTAATTCTTTCTCGTAGTCCCAGTTAAAAAGTTTATCAAATGAACAATAAATTCACATGATGTATTTATTTATGGGGTACTACCAGCCTTCCAACCACTCATGTTCACAATATCAATGTTATTCTCCACTCCTAATTCTCCCTCTCCCATTTGTGTTGTGAGGCTCAAAGGAGGATAAAGGATGTAGAGCATTTTGCAAACCTTAAAGCATGGATATAAATGCCAATTATTATTGGCTTATAATCACCAGATCTCCAATCTCGTGATGACTTCATTCTCTGAGCACTATTCTATAAGCATTTTTTGGTACAATTATCCCTTTCACATCACAACTTTTCCCGTCACGGTTTTGATATATTGTGGATTGGCATAAGAAATTAAATGGAATTTTTTTAGGAGTTTTGCAGAAGCCGCAGATGACATGAGAAGGCCAGTAGACAACACATAAAAAGTTTAAAAACTCAAAAATACATAAAATATATATATATATATATATAGTATTGTATAATATCAACTCAAATTTTACAATAAAGTACTGTAAACACCCCATAAAAGAAAAAGAAAAAATTCAGACTTCTTCTCTAGTATGAAGAGAGGTCTAAAAACTTTAGCGAATTTCCAGATCAAGGGGGCACCGGGTCCTTGACCCCACGATGTGGAATGGATAACTATAGAGCAATACAGGGGTGTGCTGGTAGATATTTAACAACCTAGCTTGGGGGGGGGGTGGAAGGAAACATATACATACACAATTAAGTTTCATTTGTATTATCAACATTTTCTTAAGTCTAAACTATCAGCAAAACAATAAATCAAGCCTTGATTTGTAGACTTCTGATTTCTGAAATAAGCTGGTTAGAGCTGTCTCCAGCATATCTCTGCCCTCACCCCATATATCCATTCACTTGCCAAATCTTGTCATTTTTAACTTCACAACACTGTTCCCTTCCCTCAGCTCACAGGACCACTGCACTGGGGTCCAGGCTCTTAATCTTCTCTTGTCTGGACTATTTCAATTGCCTCTTAATTGTTCTCCTTGACACAAATCTCTCCCAACTCCAATTCATTGTCCACACAGCTGCAAAACAATCTTTACAAAAGAACAGGGTCACTGCCTTATTCAAACTTCAATACTTCTCTAAACCTTTAGAATCAAATATGAAGGCCTGTGTATACTTAGGTGGCAGTGTGATATAGTACTGCAAATACTGGACATGGGTCCTGGGAGACCTGGGTTCAGATTCTGCCTTTGACACTAGCTTTTGCTGCTGGGCTAAATCACTTCACCATTCTGAGATTCATTTTTCTCAATTATGAAATGAGAGGGTTGGATTAGATGTCATCTAGACATGCATAAAATCTATGATTTCATGATCCCATGGACACATTGTCACCCTTGATAGAATGGAAGGTCCTTGAAAGCAGGGCTGCTTCGTCTTGATATCCTCAGTTCCTAGGCCTGACACTAAAAATATGACCTGTACATAGTCTAGGAAAAAAGTCTTTCAATGAGAAATTCAGATTTAATCACTGTACTAATTGATTAAATGAATAAAAATAAAGCTATACTGAAAGACTGCATACAAATTGAGAACAGCCTGCGTAGATATATATGTGGAAAGTTTCTTGAAGCAATTACACGGCCAATGAAACTCTTCAAATTCAAGAGGGTTCTTTAGTATAAGATGTTGTGGCCGCTCCACAATCAATCAATTGATCAACAAGCATTTATTAAGTACCTACTATGTTCTGTATCCTACAAGATAATCCAATGTAAATGGAAAGTACCAAAAAAACCCAACCTAAATCCTCTTCATGATTTTCATGACCAAGATGGGACACAAAGCAGTGTTGACTATGGTGTGGAATGTTGTATCTGCCATCAGACTTTAGCTGGTTTTGCTAAATTTTTTTCTTTCTTTTTTATTCTTTGTCACAAGGAAGGTTCTCTAGGTAAAGGAGGAGAAGAGATACATTCCAAAATGAAGATGATATAAAAACAAAAGATATCAAAATTTTTTCATATTTATTAATCAATAAAAAAGATTTTAATTTTTTTTGATCAATAAAATTTTAAAATATTAATTACTAATATGAACTTGTCTTCTGTGGCAGCAAAGCGAGAATCATTTGATAAGAATAAGGGAAATGCTCATAAAACCAGCAAAATCTAAGCAGTTGAGAAATATGTGCTTCAATGAAGAAAAAGTTACTTGAAGCTTAAATATAATTCTGGAATTATAAATTTAGATTCCTCATCACAGGGCTTTAACAGCATCCAACAGATTGCCCAGTACAGAGCTCAGGGAGGCCTTATAGCCTGAGAGTGACACATAGTCAAGACAGTTGACCAAGCATCAGGAGTATAGGTAGGGTAGGAGTGGACAATGAATGTTCAACACATGACACTCCTTGGTTTTATCTCAGGGCAAGCCCTTCAGGAGATATTCTCTTTAGCAGAGGTTTTCAGAAGAACTAAATCATTGGAGGAATTTCAAAAGAAATTGTTATCTGGCAGCAGGACCCAGCTATGCTGAGCTTCTGGTAGAGCTGTAACGAAAAGCAGTCAACCCCACTCTCTGCTCTAGGACTTTCTACCCAAGATTTAATAAGTTTTGAAATGCAATATTTCTCTCTCTTCTTCAAAAGAGGTCAATTTTCTTTCCCTTTCTTCAATTATTCCTGATCATAGACAAGATTCTCTAAGTGTGGTGTCATCACACACACACACACACACACACACAATGGTGGCATTGATTGAAAGCATCTATCGAGGTCTTTTTCTCCATCACTGCAAAATGAAATAATCATATACATGGCTAAGATTAACTACATTTCTTGGGCAGTAAAATATTCTCATTCATTTACTTTTTGATTAAGCAAGTATTCCTAAGCAAAAAAAAAGTCTTTTTTATTTCTTTTTCAGTTATTGCACTGAAAATATTTCTAACTGGGGAACAGCTAAAGAAATTATGCTGCTTGAATACAATAGAATGTTGCTATACTATAAGAAACAATAACTGAAGAATTCAAAGAAGCATGAGACAACTTTTATGAACTGATATTGGGAAGTAAACTTCAGAACTTAATACAATAACATTAAGAGAAAGAGCAAATAAACACAAAGCCAGATACTCTATAATTATAATAATTAATAAGCTTGGTCCTATAGAAGAGTTGAGAAAATGCAACCCTCTTCGTTTTTTGCGGAGGCAGGAGTACTATGGGTATGGAACATTGCATATACTATCAATAAGAGTTTTTAAGAAAATCCTGCTAGAAATATATTTGTAGAACATTCCTGGCTTAATAAATAAAGTATAGTAAATGCAAGTGAATCTTTGGTCATTCTGGATCATGACATACACAGGATTCTAGATATCCATTCTCATTATTAACAAATATACCTTCAGGTGTGGAAAATACAAATATATTTCATTTTAAGTAATGGATTTGATTCTGTAAAAAAAAAAAGCAATATTTGGGAAAACAAAAGGGAAGTTTTGCCTGCCTAGACCTCTGTTCATAGAGACTGTGCTGAGTGGGGAGGAGGGCTGAGTTGGGCTAATCTCAGATGCCTGGCCAAAGAAATTACTGTGAAGTTGGGTATGTTATGTCTCAACAAAGGAAGTCATTGTGAAATGAGTTTGGATGGGACAATTCAATAGACTGTAGATTTGTAATAACGAGTAGTTTGAATGGCTAATATGGAAATATGTTTTGCATGACTTCACATGCATGACTGATAGCAAATGCTTACCTTCTCAGAGATGGAAGAGAAGTCAGAGAGAGGGAGAATTTGGAATGCAAGATTTTAAAAGTTGATTGTTAAAAAAATTTACGTGTAATTCAAAAATATTTAATGAAATAAATAAAAATATATTTTTTTAAAAAAATAGTGATTAGGCTGAATGTTCCCCTAGGACATACCCAGAAAGATTTGTCGATTTGTTTGTTTGTTTTTTTGGGAAAGAGTATTTTTTAAAAAAAAGTGTTATTATAAATCCCCGTTTGCTTGTAATTTATACCTCATATTCATATTGTACTTCACAGGGAAGCCTGGTGGTGCATGCTTGCAATTCCTGCTTCTGGGGAGGTCAAAGTTGGTGGGCACTTAGGTTTGAAATAGAGCTAAAACCAGTTGAGTAGATGATGCACGAAGTCTGATACAAACATGGTGAGCCACTGGGATGCCCAAAGAGGAGTGAACTGACCCAGATAGGAAAGGAAACAAGCTAGCCATAGCTCCCAGCAGATCAATAAAGGGATCAGGCCTGTAGAATGGCCACAGAATTTCAAGCCTGAGCAAGATAGGAACACCAAAGCCTAAAAACTAACAAACAAAAACCTCATACAGTACTTGACATGGATGAAGAGACTAGGTTATGGGACTCATCAAAGTAGCAGAACTGGGATTCAAACCCATGGCCTCCCATTTCAGTGCTTAGCACAGTGCCTGATGCATAGTAGACACTTGATAAGTGTTTATTGATTGATTAATTCCAAGTCCAGTGCTTGTTCCACCATACCATACCACTTCCTTTGTCCTAAAAAATGGAATTTTGAAGAAAAAAAATTCATTTGGTTGTAGTGGAAAGAGCAAAAAAGTAGGAGGCAGGAAATATCGATTCTGTTCTTAATCCTTCTCTCCCTTCACTTTCCCTGTTGGCTCAGACAGATCACTTAAACTTCTCTGTATTTGTTATATGATCTGTAAAATGGATAGAAGATATGCCTTACCAACCTTACAGTGTGGTTCTAGGGAGCCTCATCCTTGAAATATTCTCTGTTCTCACCTCCTTCTCTTAGTTTGACTAACTTGCCTTAATATTCAGCTCAGATCACACTTTCCGATGGAGGCCTTTCCAAGTCCCCTCAGGTACAAGGGCTTCCCCAATAAGATTACCTTCACTTACTATGTGTGTGTATATGTATATGTATATGTATATGTATATGTATATGTATATGTATATGTATATGTATATGTATATGTATATGTATATGTATATGTATATGTATATGTATATGTATATGTATATGTATGTGTATATGTATATGTATATGTATATGTACACACATGTATAGATACATATATAGAGTGTGTGTATGTATAATATGTATATACGTACACACATGTATAGATACATATATAGAGTGTGTGTATGTATAATATGTATATACACATACAGAATGCATGCACATGGATAGAGAAAGAGTATATTTCATATGTATCGTATTTACGTAAGCGGTAGAGCAGCCCCACATAAGTAGAGAGGACCCTCATTTGGTGGTAGAGAATGGTCTACCATTGTGTGTCTCAAAGAGAATCAGAAGAGTTCAAATCTGGCCTCAGACACATAACACTTACTAGCTGTGTGACTCTGGACAAGTCACTTAACCCCAATTGCCTCGCAAGAGAGAGAGAGAGAGAGAGAGAGAGAGAGAGAGAGAGAGAGAGAGAGAGAGAGAGAGAAAGAGAGAGAAGCAGAAGAGACATCTCTAGCCTTTTTTCCTCCCATCTTCTGCAAGGAAGACTTTCATTTCTACCAGGAGGAGAAGCAGGAGGTTGGAGCTGGAGGCCACCACTCTGCTCCTTTCAGAGGGAGAGGGGGTACCAGACTAGAATTCTATCTATCTGCTCCCTTAAATGTTGTTTGTCTAGGGGATCTATCTGGGTTCGAGTTGACTTTTTATTGCTTTGTCATTTGGGGGGAAGGGGAATCCAAATCTCTATATCCAAGGCTTGCTCCCTTTCCCACCTAATGCCAGTAGCACAATGAGCACATGGACAGTTGCAAAGAAACTCATTGATGCAAGTCATAGGAAAGCAGAGTCAGAACAGGTATGCAGAGGAGAATATATGCGAAACAAGACAGACTGAAGAAGCTCTCCCGTTGGGAGCAAGGTAATTCAGCTCGACCGAGACAGAGAGGGTCCTGGATCTCACCCAAGGAGAAACTCCCTGAAGCCTCTAGTGTAGGAAGCTGGGGATAGGGACATGATAGAGACTGCCAGCTTCTCTCATGCCTTCTTAGAGCCTTTTCCTTCAGCAGTCTGAAGTGGAGTTGACCTCTTCCATCTCTCTCAAAGTCAGAAGCCAGAAGCACCTGAATGATGAGTTCCCAAAGAAGGACAGCTAAGAACCAGAGCTCTCCATTCCTGTACAACTCCACCCCACCCCTCATGTGAATCAGGGCCTTCATCTCCACCAGTAAGAAGAGGGTCCCATACCAATCAGCCTTGGGACAGGGGTTACAATGATACATAAACACATATATAAGATATATATTTTGTAAGTTCCTACTTATTCACATGTTGTCTTTCCCATTGGAATGGGAAGTCCTTAGAGGCAGAACCCATATTTTTACCTTTCTTTGTATCTCTATTTAAAAATGCTTGTTAACTGAATAACAACCATAATACCTTAAATTTCTATAACAGCATGTGTTTTCAAAACACTTTCTCATTCAACATCTCATTTGATTGACACTTAGCAATTTTCTGATCGTAGGCTAAGCTTTTTAAACCCTGATCCTTTTGAGCCTTGGTTCCTCATCAATAAAATACAGGTAATAATATGTTGTAAGAAAAGTGTTTTGTAAATAGGAAGAAACTATGGGAATGTGAGCTATTATTACTTTATTATTATTGTTGGTCCTCACAATAACTGGTATAAAAGTCCTTTCTAGCCAGAAATACTATAAAATAAATGTAAGGCATTAGCACTATTTAAAAATTTTTTTTAATTGTGACTATGTGTTTTTGGTTCTGATTGGCTGAATTGTGGTTAACTGAAGTTTTTATCAGGGTATGTACAACTGGGATAACAATCCCAATGTAATCCTTGGCAGTCTTGCTAAGGCACTCCAACAATACATTCTAGCAAGTATGTCCAGGTCACAAAGAATAAATCCAAGTGTGGATCTACTTCCAGGAGTATTGGACAGGGTCCAATACTGACAGCAGCCAATTAATTCTTTAAAGGAATTAATTCTACTCTCAGAATCATGCCCATTCATGCTACAAAGAAACTATCACATCACTCACCATTAGTTTCTGTATCAGCACTTTTCAGATCAGGCCTTTTCTAGCTGTTTAGCAATAAGCCAGTAACTCTAGACCCTACCAAGCAGGTTGGAGGCTGGGGGTAGTGAAAAGGATTGTTTGGGGCTTTTTGTTTGTTTATTTGTTTAGAAACATTAGCAATCCTATAAAGAAAAAAATAACCTACTGGGCATTAAATGTATCTAGTGAAGAGTGCATAATATGAATTTTCTTTTTTCATAGGCATTATTTGCATAAATGTGTGCATTATTACCTGCCCTTATTTCCATTTGCATAGTATTTATAATTTCCACGATATAGAGTGCCAACATTTTTGTCTATGCTTCTTAAATAAGGCATTTTGAAGCAAGGCATAAATTCAACTTACTGACTTACTGGATTCACATTTCTCCAATTTAAATTTCAATCTTTCTTAATGTACATACACATGGTTTACAGAATTGTGATCAAAGTGTGCAGACTATCTTTTGATCTGTTTTTCACACTAACACTATTTCATGCATTGATACATTCCATACACTTGCCAGTTTCAATAGTTGTATATATAGCATGCCATATATACAAGTGCATATACATATATGTATATATGTGTGTGCATATAATAGCATCCTAAGGAAGGCACTATAAATATTTTAGTGGAAATAGTCTTGAACTAGGGTCAGGAGATCTCCATTCAGGTCTCTGCTGTGCCGCTTTCTCACTGTGGGACTTTAGTTTCTTTCTCTTTCTGGGATTCGGTTTCTTCATCTATAAAAATGAAAGGTCTGGGAGCCAAGACTACAATGACCACAAAAACATAAAGGAAAACAGCATTGAAAGACGTCAGAACTCTAACAATGACTCCAAACAAATACGGTGAAACATACATCCCTCCCCTTGGCTAAGGTGGTGGACTCAGGCATGTGGCATCAATGTGGCCAATGAGATACTTTGTTTTGCTTATTTATTGTTATAAGAGAGAGTTCTGTGTGTATGGGAGGGAGCGGGGAGAGGAGGTCACGGGGAAGTAAAAGTGAAATAGATATTTCAATATAAATAAACATTTTAATGCATTTAAAATTTTAAAAAGAAAGTATTAGAAGACATGATTTCTAAGATCACTTTCATTCTGTCAAAATAAGTTTGCTTAACCTTTTGTGGGGCAGTTGGGAGGTTTCCAGTCATTCGCAATTATCAATAGTGTGAAAAGTACATTTTTTCCCCCTTTGTGTTTATTTCCTGGGGGTATCTTCCCAGAAGTGGAATTACTGAGTCACGGGATATGGACATTTGTGTGCAGTCCTTGACCCTGGTCTCTGTGAGCTATCATCTCATCTGCAAAGTTAAAGAAAGCTTTCTGAAAGAGAGAAGCTCCTACTGCGATGGAAATCTTACTGTCTCTTACGCCCCGCAAGGAAACCTCTCCATGCTCTGTGGGGACTCGGGGAAGAGAGCATGCGGGGTGTGAGTTAACAGAAAAGAGGTTTCTCAGAGGGAACCACTTGGGGAATAAACGTTAGTCGGGGACAGGGTGAGAAAGTCACCAGAAGGTTAAAGCCTGAGCTTTCCGGAAGCAGGTTGAGGAAAAAGCAGCGTGAAGATGAATATCCATCCACCAGTACAGGGCTCCCTGGGACAGGTAGGTGGTTCAGCGGCTAGAGCGCGCTGGGCCAGGAATCAGGAAGACCTGAGTTCAAATCCAGTCTCAGCCACTTACTAGCTGTGTGACCTTGGGTGAGTCACCTTACCCAGTTTACATCAGTTTCCTCATCTGTAAAATGAGCTGGAGAAGGAAATGGCAAATCACTCTAATACCTTTGCCACGAAAACCCCAAATGGGTCGGAGAATCAGACACGACTGAAACTGTTAAACAACAACAGCACGGTTCCCTGAACTCAAGCAGAATCAAAGGGTCATAATGCTAGGGCCGGAAGGGATCTCAGTGGCCCTCTAGTCAAACCTTTTCCTTGTACAGATGAGGAAACAGAGGCCCAGACGATTAAATTCAAATCCAACCTCAGATACTCACTAGCTATGTGCCCCTAGGCAATTCACTTAACCTCAGTTTACCCCAGTTTCTTCATCTTTAAAATGGAGATCATAATAGCACCTACCTCCTAGGGTTGTCATGAGGATTAAATGAGATAATAATTATAAAGCACTTAACAAAGTGTCAAGCTCATAAGCACATATGAATATTATTTTGTGTCAGCAGGACTTCAACCCAGGTGTCTTTGACCCTAAGGCTGGCTGTCTATCCATTCAAAGTCATGCTACTGCTCATCATTATTATGGAGGCTTAACAATAACAAATGACTTATTGTTCACAGAGCACTCATTTCACAAAAACCATGCCAGTAGATATGTGTTATGATTATGTATTATGCTTAGTTTAAAAATGAAGATGTTGAGGCTCAGAAAAGGAACGTGGTGATCTCTAAGGTCCCTCATAGCTCTGAATCCTATGATTATCTACAGTCATAGGGAATGCCATTGATTACAGAACTGTTCGTGTGAAATACAGAAACTCAACAAGGGATGTAATTCTTGACTGTATGGAATGGGATACCTAGAAATACAGGCTCTTGGGGTTAGGAGGAACCTTAGAAGCCATCCAGGCCACCTAATGTAGGAATCCTTGCTGCATTATCACAAACATGATTTTTCTAGCCAATGCATGAACACATATTTATAGAGAGCTCACTCCTCAATACAGCAATGCATTCTATTCTGGGAGGGCTCTAACTGTTAGGGCATTCTTCATACTAAGAGGAAATCTGATGCTTTGTAACTGCAATTCATTAGTCCTTGTTCTAGAGCTAAATAAAATAAAATTAATCTCTCTCCCAGATAATGATCCTTCAAACATCTGAATGTCACTATTGTGTGAATGAAAATTTTCTTCACCCAAACAAGAATCATTTTATGGTACTATTTAACTGAAAGGAATACAGTTGTAGAATTGAACTTTTAAAATTCTATTCTCTGGCCTTGCTTTTGCCATGGATTTATGAGGATACTATGAAATAATCTTATCAAAAGGTCAATCATGCTTAGTTTGGTAAGATGCATTTTTATTAATTCCATTCTCTCTCTTAAAAGAAACCTAAATGTTCACACCTCTTTAATCATCTGTTCTAGGATTTTTGCCAAAAATTGACTTCAACAGCTTACTGGTTTCTGTAAGCTTCCTCTTCCCTCCCCTACCTTTTTTAACAATGGGGATATTTGACTATTTCTGGACTTCTGGCCCTGGCCTTTCTCCATTATTTCTCAAAGACAGACAGTGACTGGGATTGCATCTGTAATTTCCGTCAGTAATCTAGTCTATAATCCACTAGTGAAGTCATCTCAAGCTATTAAATACTCTCCTACAGACTTCCCAGTCTTTATACACTATTTGTTTTATTTTTCCTGGCTCATTGATGAAAAAGATGGATCATGACTTCTGTTAACATCTTCCTGGAACATGAAGTGTAACCTTTACTTTTTCTTTTTCTTGCTTTGCATATACTTCAGTACTTTCAGGATTTGTAATGCTGCTGCATGAGGACTTCTTCAACCAATACAGATCATAACTCATCTATAATAGCTAGCATTTATATAGCCCTTTAAGGTGTGCAAAGCACTTTTCTCATGTTATCTCACTTGATCCCTACAACAACCCTGTGAAGTAGGTACCATTATTAACTTTATTTTACAGTTGGGAAACTGAGGCTGAGAGATATTAAGTGACTTGCCCAGGGTCACATTGCTAAGTACGCTTGGGAGGCAGGATTTAAAGTCAGATCTTTCTGACCCTAAGTCCAACACTATCCACTGATTCACCTAACTTCCATGACTTAATGTTACTTAGTAAATGATCTTTTAGAGTACAGTGTGAGAGTACAGTGCAGTCCTATGGCCATTCTGGTGATGAGCCTTTCCTAACTCAGGTAGGAGGAACTTCAGACCACTGGACTCATATTCAATGCCCTTTCCAATTTGGGTGGAACTGCCAGATCATGTGTTCTGCTCATATAACCTTGAAGTCCTGGGACTTCAGATAATTTGAAAATAACT